CCATCCAACTCTAAAAAATCTCAAAACTCTCAGATCTCCAACTCAAAGATCTCTCAAAACTCTCAAAAGATATCAAACCCTTTTGTTACATTATCATCCTTTCGATTCATCTCCCTAACATATATATAACAGCCTTCGATTCAATGACCTATTTCTAAGTAAAGCAATAACTGAAATAGTTCCAAGGAGATCCCAGCCAAGCCTAATCCATTATCAAGCCATACACAACTCCTTCGGCTGGAACTTCAGGAGGTAAGTCTTTTCTTAACTTGAAACTTTTTTCGTTCTAGCTTCATTTATACATACATTGCAAAAGGAAAAATGTAGATATCTTAAGTAGGACCTTGCCTTGACCTTCGATTTACTACTGCTTATTCATTGAGAATCTTAACTTTGATTTGTTAGCCTTTGGGTTAGTGCCAAACAAATTTATGCTAACACTTGGATTGTAGTTATATTTGGATACTACATTTTTATACTTTAAGACAGGTTTATTGTACCCTTCGATTGGCTAGTTGCGCAAGCCTTTCGAATCATACTCTGAGTACTCAATATGCATACAAAGGGTCAACAAAGAACCTGTGACAAAGTATGAAGTTGCTGCTTCTGGGCCTCAAACGAAGGCCAGAGCCTTGTGTTTCCAGGCCTCAAACAAAGGCCAGAACCTAGCTGTTTCCAGGTCTAGGCGAAAAGTGTGACCACCTTGTTTCCAACTCTCAATCGAAGGAGACAGAAAAGCAAATCGAAAGACAGAACCTTGCTGCTGCCAAGGCCAATCGAAGGATAGGACCTTGTTGCTGCCAAGGCCCAATCGAAAGACCTAACCTTACTGATGCCAGCCTCCAATCGAAGGAGGCCAACAGAATGCAAATCGAAGGCTGCTTCTCACCAATCGAAAGACACTCATTTTTCTTACTTTTATCTTATTTTTTCCTTCATATTTTTATTCCTTTCGATATGGTTGTAATAATGTAGGTTTTATTTCTTGCATTCTTTTATTACTTTTTATACAAATGCTAGTAAATATGATGTATGGCAAGATAAAAACAAACAATAGACAACCCATAATCAAGACAAAAATGCATGCAAATCAAACACACTTTGCACACATGCACCCTTAGGGTAATCCCACTTGTTGCATATCGGAAAAATAGCCATGTCCCTCGAATATGGGCGTTTTAGCAAAGACCCTCGAAAAATATCGTAGTCCCTCGATGACCCTTGATGTTGCCTTCGGTAAACGATCTAGTCCCTAAACGACATTGCTAAAACGTCCCATAGATTGCCTTCTATGACTATACAAACGTCCCACACCCATCCCTTTACATCCAACGATGGGGCTTCTTACCAAAACAATGGTGAGATAGCAACATCTAAAGGAGGAGGAAAAGAACATTTAAGATCTTTTGAGTAAGTAGATTCGCTCCTAGTTGCTCGCTTGCTCACAACAAAAACATTTTATACACCTATACACTCATTTGAAATATTTTTAAAATATAACACTTTGTACGCGTTCTTATAAAAACGAGAGTCATTACAAAGACACCTTTTCTAAATCACTTTCAGAAACACACTCCACAAACACCTCTTTGAACTATTTTCGAAACAACACTTTGTACGCGTTCTTATAGAAACGAGAACCATTACAAAGACATTTTCAAAATACTTTCAAAAACTCACATCACAAGCACACATTCAAACAAAATCAAATGATTTAGCAAGCAACTAAGAGTCCATAGATAACTATGGATAAAAAGGGTGCTAATACCTTCCCTTTTTATAATCTACCCCCCGAACTCAAAAATAATCTCAAAGGTCTTTCCTGTTCTTTTCAGCCTTTCCTTTTGGATAAAAGAAAAGTCGGTGGCGACTCTTGCTAACCGCAACATTTGCGATAAAATGCAAAACAACTAAGTCAGTTCTCCCACCGCGTTACAATCTGGTACATAACAGAGTTATATGCAATGACACTTTTGTAATCTTGGAATCTTAACTTGTTCCACTGATCCATTAATGAGAGTAACAAGACTTTTTTATAATGTCCAAATCTTGCTTTAATTTTGCCCCACAAAATCTTGGGATCTTTAGCATTTGAATATTTTGTTTGCAATCCATCATCAAGATGATGCTTGATTATTCTGTTCACTTTTGACTCTCTCTTTTCCATCTCATCTGGATCGTCTGTTGATTTTCCAAAATTGTCTCCTTCAAGTATTTTGTTAAGTTTCTCACATGTAAGGTACTCAATTAGATTGTTGTTTCAGGTTATGAAGTTGTCCCCAGTTATGCTTAGAATTTTGAATTTATGCTTAAGATTTGACATGATTATATCTATAATTCAGATGAACATAATCAATATTAATGCATAAAAAAAATAATTTATTCAATTATAAAATCCATGACTACATATTATTCAAAAATCTCTACTAATAAACCAAGCTATGACTAGTAATAGTAAGACGATAATTATCATCAAAACTATAAAATATTACCTAATTCTTCACGATTGATAATAGCCATAAGAAACAAAATAATAACGAGATGACCAAAATAAGAAATTTAGCCATTTAAAAAATATGGATAAATATTTTGAGAATGATGTGAAAGTTATGAAAGAAGTTGAAGTATTTATAGAGGTAATTTTGTAAAATGGCCGTTGTAGTTACCATTGAGGAAAAGGAAAACGAAAAAGGTTAAGTGTGTTATAAGTTATTTAGTCAAATCTTAAGTGTGTTAAATATCATCTAGTCGTTGTAAGTGATAGAGATAATTATAAGATAACATATAAGTTAAATGGACACATATGATAAAAAAAAACAGTATATACATATGGGATTTTAGACCTCCACTAAATATAGAGGTTAGTAACAACATACGAGATTTTAAACTTCCACTAAATATAAAGGTTAGTAATAGCATATGATGTTTTAAACCTCCACTAAATATAAAAGTTAGTAACAACATATGGAATTTTTAAACCTCCACTAAATATAAAAGTTAGTAACAACATATGAGGTTTTAAACCTCCACCAAATATAAAAGTTAGTAACAACATATGTAGTTTTAAACCTCCACGAAATATAAACGTTATTAATTGCATATGGAGTTTCAGACTTTCATTAAATATAAAAGTTAGTAATTGCATAAATATAAACGTTAATAATTGCATATGGAGTCTCAGACTTTCATTGAATATAAAAGTTAATAATTGCATAAATATAAATATTAGTAATTGCATATAAGATTTTAAACTTCCACGTAAAATTTATAATAAGAATAGACACACTTATTATAGAGCACTCGACAACTTGTCAGTTTTCTATAATCGGGACAAATAATAATAATAACAGTAATAATAAGATTAAAGAGATAAGTATAAAATATATACCTAGTGTAGTAAAAACTTCTTATAGAAACGATCGTGCTGATAATGTGTTAAGAAAAGTCGAATATTTAAATCTAACTTAGTTAATATTTGTGAAACTAATATGATGATATTGGTTTATAATATCAAACTAGAGAGAATGAAGTAAGTAGAATGATCTTTCAAAGTGAAATTAGTGTGTCTATTTACATTTACCAAATGAAGTATTTATATTAGTAGAAATATTACTATTATACTAAGTGAATAATTGGTATTCCTATTCTATCTTTGACAAATTCAACATTTCCAATAATTTGTCATTACTATTTAAGATAGATATTTCTAATAATAATATTATATTATCTTATTATTTAGGGAATTTCTTTGTACACCTCTTAATGGTGGGAAAAAATCTCTAAAAACCCGAAAATACCATTCGGAGATGTATCTCCGAACGAATCATAAATCAAGGTGTTTCGGAGATGCATCTCTGAAAGCACCAAAAATATCAATTTTTGAGATGAATTTGAAAATGGACTTCCGAAAATCCCCAAGATAGGGTTTTGTCTCTGCATAATTCGAAAATACATTTCTGAAATAAAAAAAACAATCAGAGAATGTTTCAGAAGTATACTTCTGAAGTTGTTTCGAAAGTGTATTTCTGAAATATGCTCTGACACAAGATAAAAAATCTTGGGACCAAATTGCTTCAAATCTTCTATATATGGAGTACTTTTCGTCGATACTCTACCAAAAGTCCGATTGAATTGGATGCAAAGATTCAGAGAATCAGTGAAGATGTTATCAAAATATTGCGATATTCTTAGTTACCCGTTTATAACAACATGTAATGTTAAATTTATGTTTCAATATCTATGTAATTTTGACTTTCAATATTAAATTTATGTTATTCTTTATGTAATATCAATGTTTCAATATCTATCTTATATCTACATAATTTTCTGTTTCAAGGTTTTCGTTTTGTTGAAATCATTCAGTGTCTATTTCAGAAATGTACATCCGAAATATAATATTGGGTATCTTCAAAAATACATATCCGAATTCACCTAAAAAAATGAATTTCGTAACTTCGATAATATATCTCAGAAATCACCCCGAAAAAAAATGAAATTTTGTGACTTCGAAAATACATCTCTGAAATTACAAAAAAAAAAAAGACTTTTATGCATTCGGAGATACATCTCTGAATTCTAAAGATAATAACGTAATTTTGTTAGAGATAACTAAAAAGATGTAAGGGTGGGGAAAGAAATTCCTATTAATTATTATAACAAAAATGTATTTTTATCAGTTTACCAAGGAACAAAACAAGCACACGCCCAAAAGTAAGGTGATGATGTAACCACAAAAACAAAATACAATAGTAATATTAAAATAATAACATTCCCCACCGAAAAATAAAAAGAAATAACGAGAGAGTTGTTTGACATTCGCATCTAGTAGTGGCGGAACAAACAACAAACAAAGAAACTTTACCACGCGGATTCCGTAATACTCCTATAACTAACACAATAATAATATTGGATTATCTTTCTCTTTTTCGTCTTATTAATTTCTAATAACACCCCCTTTAATTTCTCTCCTCTGTCAATAACGTACATACACACACATCTCCATGGACACGGCGGCACCACCGTCTTCTTCCCCATCGGAGGAGCCTCAGAATCAAAATCAACACCACGATCTTCAACATCAACTTCAACAAGAACAACAACAACTTTCTCCGGTGAAAGACTTTATTCACAAAACCAAAACGATTCAATTTCTCGGACGCACTACTCCGATCGTTCTTCAAAACGACAATGGACCTTGTCCTCTCCTCGCTATTTGTCAGTGCATTTCGTATCCTAGGGTTTCTTCTATCCATTTATTGATTTTATTGCATCGCATGTTAATCCATTTTTCGTTATTCGCTTTACGAATTGCAATAACACTGAAGCGTATATTAGGTTAGGGATATTCGATTATAGATAACTATTATCGATTTCTCACTAGTTTACGATAAATTGTTGATAGACAATAGACATAGAATATGATTTCATATTTCTTTTCAATTTCGGATTGACTTATCGTTATCAACATGTATCATAGCTTCGATATTTCTCGATTCATTCATTCCTATCTTACCTGTAATTTAATTGAATATATAAGTGAAATTTCTACGAGTTTAATTGGAATGTCAATTTGTTATTTTTTCTGGCATTGCCACGCATTAGTTGCTGTTATGCAATGTCACTTGCGTGTATCTTGAAAACGCGCAAGAATTTCTTTCTTACATATTGTGCAACAAAATCACTACCTTTTTTTCATAAATTTTCACTGAGTTACAAAGAACTGATAAAAGATAATTCAGCAAGATATACCATGTTCCTGTTGTTTGCAATTTCAATGTTTGTTTGATTCATGATACTAGAATTTCTTGCTCTGTTCATGCTTCTTGAATGGGATTCGTGTTTCCTGTTTTGAATGTATTAGTTGACACTCGATGCATATTACTATTACATATGCCAATCATCCATTAATAAGCATTATGCCAATCACCCATCAATAAGCATTTTGGGGAATTGCTGGAACTCCTAATATTGATACTAAAGGAATTTACTTGCTCTGTCCAAGCTTCTTGAATGGAATTAGTGTTTCTGGTTTTCATCGTATTAGTTGACACTCGATGCATATTATTACATATCCCAATTATCCGTCAATAAGCATTTTGGGAATTTGCCGAAACTCCTTATATTAATACTAATGGAATTTACTTGACGATTCCAAAAATATAAGTTCTTCTTTTCAAATCTAGTCAGATATTTCTTACTAGATCAATTGACAAATGTAGAATTTTTTCTCTCTTTATGTCACCTTTGTTGGTATCTTGCTATATGTCAAAAGTCTTTTTAGTTCCTATTTTGCTTTATTTATTTTTCCATTTTTTTGTATTGTCTGGATTGTAGGATCAGTAGCAAGCTGATTCTCTAGTTTTTTATACTTTGGAGAGTTATTTGCAATATTTATTTTATTTTGCTTGTTTATTTTTCATACCTCACTGTTTATATTGCATGGCTGCAGGTAATGTTCTTCTGCTACGAAACCAGTTAGGTTTAAGCCCGGATGTGGCTGAAGTCTCACAGGAGAAGTTGCTTTCATTGGTTGCCGAACGATTGATTGATTCAAATAGTGATGTGAATGTAAGGATTGGGTTTATAATCATTGGCGACATGGCATCACTATTTTGCGATTTAGGTTCATCTAACAATTTTTTTTATTGTCTTACAGAACAAAGATGCAGGCTATGTCGAAAATCAACAGCAGAACATTTCTGATGCAATTGATTTGCTCCCTAGGCTTGCCACCGGAATTGATGTAAATCTAAAATTTACGAGGTCTGGGTCATTTATTTATTTGTAAGCTGTATGCATCCATCATCAATTTTGAACTTCTCACCAAAGTTGCATATCAATTGCAGAATAGATGATTTTGAATTCACTTCAGAGTGTGCCATATTTGATTTGCTGGACATCCCGTTGTATCATGGCTGGATAGTTGATCCGCAGGTGTGTTGTCTACCTCAATCTTAATTAATTAGTTCTATCATCTATGCTATATGAATTAGAGAAATTCTTAGAAGATTGGTGCCCTGCAAATTGTCAGACAAGTTCTAATGTGCCCTAAATATCCTGTGTAAAACGAGATGCAACTTATTTTTGCCCGTCAATGTTACAATCCTTTGTTTTCAGTGAATTCCAGAATTTTTGATCGGTAACCTATTGGTCAAATGCAAAGTGATACCACACCCTTTTTTTTAGCTATATCACGCTTCTGTATTGCATCAATTTTGATGTTGCTAACTAGAATTTGATTTCAGAATGGTCTATAAATGAGTCGTTAGGTTTCATCAGAAAATTTTTCTTGTATTTATAGGATTTATGTAGCAGTCTGCAACCCATCTAGTTCTTTGAAAATTAAAAATGCTGCATCAGTGGCCTCATTGTGTGATATCCTAAATTAATCTGGCCTCCATCCATGTTGGTTCTGATTTTTTTTTGTTTTGTTTTAAAAATTGGTGTGTAGGACTCAACGTTATCTGTAAATTTTAAATGACTGAGTGATCTTTTTGAAAATTAAAAATGCTCTGTCAGTGGCCGCATTGTGTGATATCCTAAATTAAACTGGCCACCATCCATGTTGGTTCTGTTTTTTTTTTTTTTGTGATAAATTGGTGCATAAGACTCAATGTTATCTGTAAATTTTAAATGACTGAGTGATCATTTTGAATAATCACCTCAAAGGTCACTAAAATTTTATCTTTGTTTTTTTTTCAAACATGAAGGGTTTATTTATTATTTTATGATGTGTTTGTTTCATATCCAATTCTTCATGTGCTTGTGAACTAGGATCATGATACTGCAACTGCAATTGGATCGAAGTCCTATAATGCGCTTATGGGAGAGCTTGTTTCTCTTGAAACACGGAACATTGAAACCCTACCAAAAAACAACCCAGAAGAAGATTGTGTTGATTTTGTGGCCGCAACAACTGCTGCTCTTGGAGTTCCTTCTCCTAGTCTTTCGAAAGCTATGTCTTTTGATGATTCTCCACATTATGTTTCTGATCAGACACCAAGAAAAGGTGATCTTGAAGAAGAAGAACAGTTGTTGAGAGCCTTGAAGATGTCTGAAGTGTCAATGAGTGATCCTGTTGAGGGTCATGCAAATGATAACAAGGGAGAAGTTTCTTTTGGTACAGACGGAAATATGTGTAACAAACAGGCTGTAACCGTGGATTCTGAAGATAACTTAGGAAAGAACACTGGTAAAGAAAGCAACGACTACCATGAATCAGAAAGCTCCATACCTGATGTTTGCACTGCTTCTAGCAATGACTATAATGAACATACATCTTCCACATCTACACTGGGGGAAACAGCTAATTTGTCCTCAAAGAATGATGCCGTAAGTGGCTTCCATCAATTAACTTCTACGGGACCTGAAGAATCTATTAAACAAAATGATGTAGTCGAGAAGCACAACCTTGATGCATTGGTTCAGAATGAGAGTGTTGCCGTTCTTTCTCCTGAAAAATATTCCGTTTCTTTATTTGAGAACTGTGCTGATGGTTCTAGGGGGGATGAAAAAGTTCACAATCAATCCTCTCTTCTTACAACTATGGATCATGAAGTTTCAGATGAACCTCAAGGACTTGATGCAACAGGAGCACCATGCTTACCTGCAAGCCATACGAATTCAGATTCTTCTAATATCAGATTTCATCAAACTGATGCTTCTGGAGTATTCCCTTCAACTGTTGATAGGAGTGAGCCCTTGTACGAAGGAGAGGAATGTGTATTGGATACAAGAACTGGAATTGAGGAACGTGAACCTGTTTATGAAGGTGAGGCGGTGCTTCAGGAACAGGCTGACAAAAGCACCTTATCTTCCCTTGATCTAAGAGCTAAGGAAGAAATTACTCCAGAACAAGGTCAATCTTGCTATATCTTGGAAATGGGTTCAATCTGATTGGAATATTATTTTCTTAGAAAAGCATTTATTATTATCTTGATAATAAGTGATATCTTTGTCTTTTTATTGGTCTTAGGAGAACATGCCAAGAATTTTTTGAGGAATAATGCCAGTCAATTGACATTTTACGGGTATGTTACATATTGTCTTATTGGTCCAAAGTTCTTGAACTAATTCCCAGATTTATATATTTTTCTTCACTGGCTCAAGAATTTCACTTTCAATATTATAAACCATAAATGTTTTTGTAGGCTTTTCTGCCTACAAGATGGTCTTAAAGAGCGTGAGTTATGTGTTTTTTTCCGAAACAATCATTTCAGCACCATGTTTAAGGTGAGCACAACTAAGCTTAAAAAGGCTCATTTCTTGGGTCATTTGGACTATTGAAAATGATATCGACTACCCCAGACAGCTCTTTTTTTTAGGGGAAAATTACTTGGCTCTCTGTCTTGCATATTATTTCTTTTCTATCCTAAAGTTATTCTTTTCTATTCACAGCTTGAGGGTGAACTTTATCTTCTAGCTACAGACCAAGGCTACATAAATCAACCTGATTTGGTTTGGGAAAAACTGAATGAGGTAAAACACGATTACTCTAGTTTCCAGACCTTTGTCACTCATGTCATCTTAAAATTTTACTATTTTTCTTCTCTCCTTTCTATGTTGAATCTGATGGGAGTTTATGATTAAGATAATGATATTCTCAGTTAAATGTTCTGAAAACTATAATTTTGCCTGCTTGGTGATTCGAGCTTCTCTTGGATAGCTCTTACACGTGTTTTTTAAGCTTTTCCTGTTTATTGAGTAAATTCTGCGTGACAGTGTCTTGATAAAACATCTTGTTTTTGTGTAATATTGAATTAAATTGAAAACATAAATATTTTTGACGTACTGACTGATCTTTCAGGTCAATGGTGATACATTGTTTATGACTGGCAATTTCAAGGAATTCAAGGTAGAAAGCAATGAAAATAACACCTGGGATGAGAACAATGTTATGACCAGCACTGCTGTACGTGTTTTTTTCCCAAAAAATTAAGTAAATATCTAATTTTGAAAACAAATTTTTGTTGATTTAAAGATAACTCGACATATTTCAGGACTATCTTGCCAGCATAGATAGTGCAACACAGGGAGGCTTAGATATCAAGTTGAGTTTCTGAACTTACTATTAGCACATATACAAACATTTATAATTGGCCCCCTTCGAAAAAAAATGTTATTAACTAAATAAGCATTGTTAATGATGTCAGTGTATGTTTTGGATTAGCTAACTTTGGGTCAAAAAAACTTTTGTTATGAAGCTTCCTGAGAGAGCTTGTGAAAAAAATTATTCCCATAAAAAAAGAAGTCCAAACATGAAAACTGCAGACTATTATTTTTGACTTAATTTGGTTACAATTTTAACTATTCAAAATGGTTTAGTAAAACTAAATCTTCTCTGTAATTGTGACAGTTCTGATTTCCAACTAGCAATAGCCTTGCAACAACAAGAGTTTGAGCAGCAGCCACCACGTCATAATCAACAAACACCGTCCTCTAGTGGTAGTTCCAGATTGGTCACAGGCCCCCAGGTAAAAATTATTTTGCAACCTTATAAGAAAAGTTTTTTTTTTTTTTTGTGTCTATAGACAAAGTGGTGATAACCACTAAAAATTCACACACTATGTGGTTCCGGGTTCGAAACTGAAATATGATATCCGGCCTAACAATAGGCATTTGTTGAACAAGTGACTCTTTCTAACATGCACAAGTGAATCAAGTTGTGCACCATGCACTGCCATTTTATACCATTGGATCAACTAGGCACACTAGGGAGAATGCTAGCCTACCCACACCAAATCTTTCCACTCACCACCACAATCACAAATGGAACTTGTTTTGTATGACACCACCTGCATATATCCAATTTCCAATCTCGAAAATTCTTGGACTTGGCCTTGAATTTTTTAACACTATGTTCTTCTCATTGAAGCCATTGATTTGAAAGCCTATAATGAAAAAAAATAATGGAAATGAAAGTAGAATTTATACTACATGGATATTTGAATTTGAAAATTCTAGCAATTTCTTAGTAAATGCTATTTGCAGGTGGCAAGGAGCACTGTTAGGAATCCATCTTCATCTCCCAAGCCTGATGCAAAATCGAAAGAAAAATGTATAGTGATGTGAACTCAACAAGTTAGAAGCTTGTTTTATAATTCTTGGCCTTAACTTTTGTATCCCATAATTACAGTAACCTATTTCCTCATGTCATTTATGTGATGTTAGGTTAAGTTACTTTGTAAATATTGGAAGTAAATAGTGTACCACAGTGCCAGGTCCTTGTTGTGACCACAACCCTCATCTTTATGAGCTTCAAACCCATTCTGTGCTGATTGGTTGTGCAGCTTTAGTAGAGTAAAAGCACAGCCCACAATTTAACTATGCCATCTCACCAACGTTGTTGGTGATATTGATGTAAAAAGTCAGTAATTTATGGATATTGTTTTTAACTTGCTAATTAGATGTTGACTGATAAGGGGAAGTGCATGATATTCAAAATTTCAGATTAAAAGGATTTCAAAGCTTGCAAGAACTTAACTTTCGTGTTATGTATGATTGCAAAATGTTTTGTCGTAGAATAGTAGCAAGATATTTGCAATACTACAAGATGAATAGATGTATTCAAGAGTATTAGTGATGAGAAATGGTTTTGATTTATATTATAAAATATGTACACAATTTGTACCAAAAATAAATATAGTTAAGGTTGTGCACTGACACTGTCGAATGAGAATTTATCATTTAGTTATGTTATATAACTTATTTAAAAATAATAGTATGATTTGACATTTAACATGATAGTGATCGGTTAATAGTGTAAAATAATTTTATATTGTCAGTGTATCATCTATTTTATTTTAAATTAATATCTGAGAAATAACTTGTCCTTCTAATTTATTAATTTTAATTAGCTCAATTTAATAAGAAATTAAGTAAAAAAATTGTTCTTATTTTATGCCTAATAAATAAATTTATGGCGGACTATTCTTTCTCATCTATTTGTTATTTATTTTATATTTTATTTAACTTAAAGGTAATGGGAACTTGTGTCTTAAATAATATTGATTTTTGTTCTAAAAAAGTACATGTTAAGATATCATAAATAATTCCGTCAAAAAAATCATAAATAAAAAGTTTAAAATGAAAAAATAGATAAAAAATAAAAACTATAAACTTTTAATTAAAATAATATTCAATTTTCTAACACAAACTTTATATATTTAACATAAATTTTTTATTTATGGGTTCATGTGTCCTTGGAACACAATAGCATTACCCTTAATAAATGTTGAAATATGTTTACTTGTTTTTGTTTAATTTTCTCTACCTAAGTCTCAAATAATTTTATTTTAAAATTTATAATTTCTATTATTTTGTTCTCTCTCTTTTTGTTTTCAAATGAATGTAAATCGATGGTAATGTTTGAAAATATTTTGGAGGAAATAATTTTGAAGTGTTTATTCTATATTTTAGTATATAGATATTTTTAAATAGTTAAATTATAAAAATATAAAGAAATATCATAATAATAAAATTATAAAATTATAAAATTATAAAATAATTAAACAAAAATATTTTCACACTCCGCAAATGAGTTGCAAGAGGTGTAAGAAACAAGAGACAATAATAAATTTGTTAAAAAGAAAAATAATGTATTGGTATGTTTGTAAAAGATTTCATATGAGCTAACATAGAAAGTTTGTTAAGGGGAAGCGACATGATATGTCACCCACTCCGGCTTCCTAGTTGTCTGTTTGTGTAAACGACTATCCATTTTTTGGTCATGTTGCACATTTCTTCAATTACACGGCCATTCGTGGGAACCTAAAAGTAATGTGTCTCCGTCCACAACGGTACAAGAGAAGGAGTCAAAAGGGAAGACCACATTCTCCTTAATAATAGGGAGTTTCCTGCCCACTCCACACCATTCTCGAAGCGATTGCTATTTTATGAAAGCCTGAGATCTATAATCAGGGATTTCTATAAATATCTCAACTTTAAGATTGACGAAGGATCCAATTCATTATACAAAAGCACCAGATACTAAACGTTTATGTGTGAGCTTTCTCTAACACCACAAACAACCCTAAAAACCTCTGATAACCTACCACTCAATGGGTTGTCACATATTATACTATTTACAAGTATAATTGGCGTCCACTGCGAGGCCCCATTAAAATTAACACGAGTCATCATTACAACATTCAACTAGATTGCACACGTTCAACTCCTCCGTCCATCATAATGAACAAGACGATAACAACTCCGTCCAACGATGAGTCTGATGGCGAGGAGAACACCATGGCAGAGATGCGTGTTGCCATGAACGACTTATGCCGTCATAATCAAACTTTGTAGGATAACGTCTTCCATGTCCAACACCACCACCAAGAGGCTCGCCTTACGGAAGAGGTCGAAATACTAGACACCACGGCGCCTGAGAATTCTAAGCCACCCTCGTTGGCTAAGTTTGATCCGCGTATCAAGCTGTATGAGCATGCCGCCTCCACCAACACGTAGATAAAAATTATCAAAGCTTCTGATTTCTTGAAGTGAAAAATTCTCTCTGGCACCGAGATTCAACCTTAAGGTGGTACACGGGCTTGACTCAACTCTCAGTCACCAACTATCAAGACTTGGTGAAGAAACTAGTCCATTAGTTTGCAGCAAGCAGACAAAAAAAGATGGTCTCCACCATCCTTTTTAACATTCTTCAAGGTCCCTCTGAATCTCTGAAGGAGTATCTCACCCACTTCAATGAGGCGACAATGAAGGTTTTCCACCCCACCCAATAAACGCTCATAGGAGCATTTCAGAATGGGCCGAGGGAGAGCCACTTTAATGAATCCCTTGCCTAAAGGCCCACAACCTCCTTGACTGAGGTGGTGACACATGCATAATGCTTCATAAAATGCAAAGAGAGCAATGTTGAAAAGAATCCCAAAAATGTCAAAAAACATATAGCTAACAACCCTGACGAATCACAGTAATCAAGCACAACCCACTATACGTCACCCATTAGAGATAAGGCGACATTCAAGCGAAGCAGGAAACATGCAGAGAGCTTCACACATCTGAACACTCGACATGAGCAGATATGGTGTGAAGTCCTCCACATGCATGACATTCCACAACTACTAGCGCTCAAGTCATATGTCATGGGGCATGGGCCTAACGGATGGTGCGAGTTCCACAAAGTCTAGGGGAACCACACTAGGGATTGCAACAACTCAAGAAGGAGATAATCCATGAAGGAAATCTTATGCCAGGGGTGACACTTCCCAGGAACCAGGCAGATCCAGCTCGAGGGTGATATGCTTCTGGGAGTTTTGGGTCCAAAAAGGGCAAAGAACTAAGAAAATTAGGCGAGGAAAAGACCGTGCACCACACCTTTAATACCATTACAAGAGGATTCTCCAGAGGAGGAGAGACCAGTTCCACCCGCAAAAGGTATGCTTGTCAAATCCTAACCATCGAAAGCTTTCCCATCAACTAATTTTGGCGAGAGGGAAGCCCTAGAATCTAAGACTGTCTTTTCCAAGAAGGACGATGCATGTATTTAACAACTTGATAACAACTCCACAAACATAATCATAAGGTGTGACAATTGGTAGATTAAGAGGGTTCTAATCAATCAAGGGTGTTTTGCAGACATCCTCTATTAGGATGCTTTTGAAAGGATTTGCCTGGACCTATAATACCTCAAAGCTTTCCAAGAATCATTGGTAGTATTATCATACGAGCAGGAGCAGACGAATGTGTATACTACCCTACATACCACAATTGGAGCTGAGGAGAGCACCGGAAAAATTAAGGTAAGGTACATGGTAACATGATTATAACATGATTATAAGGAAACATTCTTTTAACTAACTTTATGCCTCCATATCTACCCTGTACCTATGCGTGAAATATCCACTCCTAGATGGGCAAGTAGGGGTTATTCAAGTTGATCAAGAGATCTCCAGAAAGTGCTACTTAGAAATCCTAAAGGTAAAGAAGACTAAGATCGTGGGAGTGAAAGTATTTGATGTAACGACATGGGAGAGGTCACAAGAAATAACTCTTGAAGACAAGGATCTGACCGCCTACTCCAAGAGAGCACTAAGTCGACAAGAAATAACTCTTGAAGACAAGGATCTGACCGCCTACTCCAAGAGAGCACTAAGTCGACATGATAAAAGACTCGTTGAAAACCTTTTATATTGTTTATACATTTTTCTATGTTTAATTTAGTTTGACGTATTTTTTTTGGGTTAAAGAGAGCTACAATAAATGCCGCTTGTATGATTAAATTTGTGACATTCTTGGTTTTGTGGCGAACACTCGTTTCCCCTACACTGGTAATAAGATGCAAGGGTTTTTAATGAGGCACTTCACATTCTTATATATTCAGAGTCATTGTTATTTTTTTTTTGCAAAAACTTAAAAAAGTGAAATGAAACCTTATTAAAAATTCTTGTAGAGGCGATATCATAAGTTGGACCCTCATGAATGAGTCCTTAACGTCCATAGAGGAAATCACACATGTTGAATCTTCACGAAGGAGTACTTTCCGCACATATAAGAAATCATATGTGTTGGGTCCTCGTGAAGGAATCCTGGTCTCCCTTCGAGGAAATCACATACTTTGGATCCTCATGAAAAAATCCTTTCCGCCTTAAGGGCAACATCATCCTTACCATTAAAGGTCGACAACAAGGCCAAAGTATGCTCAAAGTATTTTGTGGTAAAATAGATAAAGTAAGGATGTGCATGTCCACCATTTGATAATCCTAGAATGATACAAATGGGTACAAGAGAGCTCGTACAAGAATTGAAAATAATTACATAAACCCTTTACGCATAACTACAAAAATCCTAAAAGGACGTAAGATAACTAAACCCTAAGCTCATTGACTTTCTAGATCCCACCCAAAGCATTCTCTTGGTGGTCGACTCCCCTTTGAGAAATGTCTCATGTCACCTTCTTATCCCCATGCTCAATTTGGGCGACCTAACCAGGAAGCTCCTATCTAGAGGGTGATACTTCCTCTCTGTCCATTAAATGGCTATACGGACCACCTTGAACAAGTCCATTTGGCTCAGAACCAACCCAGAGTGGAGGAAGGCTATCTTCTCCTTTG